GTATGCTGGCTTAATTTACCAAGGAAACAGGAGAAAAAGTTAGGAAGGAAATTGTCTGTATTCAGTATCACCTCAGTACCCCCTTCATTGTTGCCATCTGGGGTGCAGCCTAGTATAGATCCGGGAACAGATCCGACCATATCCGGTCTAGCTGGTGCTTAAAGGAGGTCACAGTGCTACAAGATATGACCTCCGCCGGTAGCCTATTCCAATGATTCACAATTCGGTTTGTGAAAAAGTGATGTCTGATGTTCAATCGAGCTCTTTGCTTTTTCAGTTTCAGAAGCAATCCCCAGTAGCAGGGTGAAAAATCTCTTGGGGACTGATATTATTGAAACCCTTCATACATTTGAAGGTCTCTATGAGGTCCTTCCTCAATCGTCTCCTCTTCATGGAAAACAGATTTAGGGAGGCTAGCCGTTCTATATAGGGCTTGTTTCGTTGACCCTCCACCATTTTAGTGGCTATTTGTTGCACCTTTTCAATACAATAGCCTTCGATCCTGCAAATATTCAACACATGACAAACCTTCCATTTGGTTCAAAATGTTTTGCAGGTTGGAACGGGCAGTCATTATGTCAAGGTCACAGATTAAAACAAAAACGACGTAAATAGTCTTTTCACTTAGGGGCCAGGAATCAATAATCATAAATTGTTATGGCGGAAAAACTTTAATTTATTTTTAAATCTCGCAAGTGAGTGTATATGGCCTGGAGTTGCAATAGAGAGGGGGCATAAACTGTCAACGTCCACCCAAAACACGATTGGTTCGTAGTGCTCTGAGGTACCAGAATAAGAAAATCACTGCAAAATGTACAAGGAGACACATAAAAGATGCAGCCAAAAGCAATCGAGAACCAGATAAGATGTCCAACGAGAGAACAAAACGATTAACTTGAAGCTAACCGGAGTTAACGGCCTTCCGGTATATCTTCTTACGGGTCTCAGTATAGCGCGACCTCCTAGTGTCTCGTTGCCCGAAATAGACAAAAACACTCGTGGGAGTCGTAGACGTTTATTGGCGAATCGTGGTACTAAATAGTACCGAAACGTGCCAAGGTGACGCTAAACAATGCAAGCAATAAATGCAGTAGCAGAGCGAAAGCGTGTCACACGTGTAGCATGGGTTTCAACAGGACCCAGCTTATATATACGTCTGAGCGGAAAACCGTGCTCGGTAAAACAAACAGAAGTAAAACACAGAAAATATCAACAGAAAATATCACAGTTCGAGTCAGAGTTGATTGTGAAGAAAATATGAACGGAAAACGTCCTCGTGGATTGCTCCTTTTCCTCGTACAATCATGGTCACTACAAACTTATCTCGTCATGCTAATTTGAAATTAGGCGGGCATCGAGTCAATAGGTAGACAACTGTGTTGATGTTTGTGTGTGCGAAAACATATCGAAAACCTTGTCATGTCCAAGAAGTCATTGGGTTTGGAGGGATTTTGAAAACTCGTTGAATATACCGTATGGTTAGTAGAATCAAAGGGTTGGCGCCGGTCACTGATTTTTTTCTACTAGTCAAGCAATGAAAGCCGAGCTGCACGTATCCTCGGACGCGTCCGAAATGGGATACGTAGTAGTAACCTACGTGTATCGACAGCATGAGAATTGTGAGCATAAGACAGACAGCATAAGACAGTTTACCAAAACCCGAGGGGCCCTGTTGAAATGCATATAGATACCCCGACTTGAATTAACCACGGCAGTGCTGGTTGTGCGTCTAGAGAAGCAACTGTGACAATGCTTTGAGATATTTGAAGCACGGGTCACGTTCTGCGTTGACTCCGTCATTATAATACACTTTGTGAACGATGTCAGCATTAGGTTCCTATCGACTGACCTTAGTGCAGGAAGAGACCAAAGTGCACCAATGGCGGTACTTCACGTCTGCCGACAACCCAGCTCCAGGGGCTTGAAGTCACTGGAGAAACTACCCGATTAGCTCCACAGTTCAGCACTCCTCATCGCTGCGTAAAGCGACGAAAATAAACTACTAGCACTGCCTGCACCCACTGAGTTAATATAAGCCAAAATGGTGGTAATGACGGTGGAGCGCGTCATCACGTCGCCCTTTTCGGAGAAACTGAAACGCTTCTCGACACAGAATAAACTGATTCGCTCGGTAGCTTGATGGACGTGATCTAAACATACAGGGAATGATCATGACAGGGTTTTGGTCCGACGAATCACTGAACGTGGGACCACTATCGACGGACGACCGGATGCGAGCCGAGAATGACGTCGTGAAACTAGTGCAACAACACCACTTTCCCCTACAAACAACAGCGCTGAAAGAGAGTGTGCGAACGAACACATAAGTCTGTGATCGAACGAAGCTGCCTGCGAAAACGAAACCTCATAATGATCAAAGGGTTGCTACGCGTTGGAGGGAGACTGGAAAACTATTCCTTGGCATTCAAAACTAAATTTCCGATCATCCTGATGGCCAGCAACCATATCACCAATTTGCTCATACGCCATCTCCACCTACTCAACGGGTACGCGAGCGTTAACCATATATTGAACGATATTCGGATTAGGTTTTGGATAACACGTTGCAGAACCGCAATAATGAGGACGTAGATATATGTTTTGTTGTCGACAGAATGCGGTAGTCGAGAAGTAACTGATAGCCTCCTCATCCGAATTTAGGGTCCGAGAGGGTTGGTGCCCTTTTACGGAGACGCGGGAAGACTGCTACACCCCCCTAGTGGAGTACGTGCAATCAATTTCAGAGCGGCACGGTTGCTCATTCATCTGCATGCAATGCCGCGCAGTGCACTCAGAGATGACGCACAAAATGTCTCAACTGAATCGATCCTATTGGCGCTTCAAAGGTTGGTCAGCAAACGCAGGGTCTCGACCAACATCTACTCCCACAATGGTTACAACTTCGTGGGCGCATCCAAAAAGCTGCATAGATGGCCGTCCCGACTTGCCCAGAGTGAACTACACAAGTGATTCACCTCGCAAGGTATTTGTTCGCACTTCGACCCGCCGTACGCTAGACATAAGGAAGGGGTGTATCTCTCGAATAAATCAACGAGTAATGCCAAGCCAAAATCGGATCCCAAAACCTTTTTGAGGCCATCCTGTGATTGTTTGACAATCAGTCGTATCCCGTCCTCCATGGCAACGGCACTTCGAACCGATCGGGCTGGCACCGTGTCTCTGTTTCGACTATTGCTAATGCCTGGTTATCTTCTACGGAAGGGCCCCCTTTCTGGTCGTTCAAGTCATCGAACTCATTATCATAGATCATTTGGAGAGCTTTTTCGATCGTATCGTTGTTAGCGGTGATGCTGGTGAAGTTAACTGATAACGGTTTACGATTTGTCGCGTGAGGTGGTCCAAACAACGTCCACCCGAACATGGTGCGAGCAGCATATGGTTCTTTCCTACCGCCCAGTCTCCGGTCCAGGACCCAGTGTGCTTTGGGTACGTCACACGCTATCACCAAATCGACTTCGAGAGAGTCGGCTTCTTCGAAATACAAGTCTCGCAGGTGCGTCCAGCGCGTTGCTAATTTCCCGATCGACTCCACTGCTCGCATGGGAAAGTCGGAGATGGTGAAAGCTTTTGTCACCTC